ACAAAGACCCTTAAAATGGTCGTTTAAGCGGAACAGAGTTATCGTTATTGGAATAGACGACCAATGGGATGTCGATTTAATGGACATGTCTAAATTTTCGAAATTTAACAGTGGATTTAATTTCATATTGGTGGTGATTGACATATTTTCCAAATATGTAAGGCTAAGACCTTTAAAGAATAAGAAAGGTGAATCCGTGGCGAATGCTTTGAAACATGTTTTATCACAAGGAAGATCTCCAAACAGAATAAGAACTGATAAAGGACAAGAATTCAGATCACGATTAGTAGAATCTCTCCTTAAACAGAGAAATATTCAACATCTATTTGCACAAAATACGGACATCAAAGCTAATTACGTTGAAAGAATGATAAAGACTATTAAACAAAAAATTATGAGATTTATCACCAGTAAGCAGTCATATGACTATGTGGATAACTTACAGAATTTTGCTAACAGCTACAACAAGACCTTCCATAGATCGATTGGCATGGCACCAGATAAAGTCATCCTATCTAAAGCGACAAACCTGTGGTGGAAAATGTATTGGCAAAAAAGATTACAACCTAAGACAAAGAATGTACGAAAACCTTTCCGTTTCAAAATCGGTGATAAAGTTCGGATTACATACATAAGAAATCCTTTTACCAGGGAATACAATGAGAAATAGAGCGAAGAGATATTTAGAATATCTCAAAGAATATAACTTGGTGGGCTTCCAGTTTATCGACTTATTGATTTGCAAGACGAAGAAATTTCAGGAACCTTCTACCAATCAGAAGTGCAGAAAGTGGATGTTCGGGAAGACGATATATGGAAAGTTGAAAACATCCTCAAAACAAAAGGCAAAGGACCCAACAAGCAATATTATGTTAAATGGTTACACTGGCCAAAGAAATTCAACTCTTGGATTAAAGCTCGCGATTTATCTGATATTTGATAGAGTTAACTATCTTGAAAAGACTAACTTCAAGTCTCGACAGTTTACACTCCTGCACGAAATAAAGCATACTGTTAGCCCTTTCGTGAGGTTAGAGATACTGTTGAGTGATATGCAACTCTTTGACCCATGTCTGTCTGAATTGACGGGGATATTAAATATTGTACAAATTATTGTTGTTATCATTATTAGTGTGGTACCGAGAAGCAGAAACTTAAAAAAAAAATAAAATAAAATAGGAATACAATCACACAAAAGGAGAATCATATTGGATAATTCCTTGCTCATATTTGTATGGATTAAACCTTGAATCGATACACACAAACACACACACACACACACACACACAAACATACACAAACACTAACAATGATAAACACCGGTGCATCTTTTATCAATAAAACCTATTGAAAGTTAAAACACGCTATCGATATTGATTGAACAATTATATTATAAAATTCGAGATTAAATACCTTTCAAAATTTAACCCCAGAAATAGTTAGATGTAAAATACTATTTTGTTCCATTAATGTAATGGTTTGATTTTAAAAAAACCAACACGATGATCATGTTTACAATTTCAAATCTGGCGGATATATTGACAAGGTCGCTACGTACAATAATGGACAAGTTTAAACACGCTTTCAATATTGATTTAATAATCATGTTATCACAGCTTAATGGTCTTTAGCCGTAGGTGAATAGATATTATTTAATACCAGAGACATATAATACAATATGTATATGTGTATGTATCTGTTAATACACATAATTAATCATCTTATGATTAGTGATGTAACACTATATCGTGACGTCATTTATTAGGGAGGTTACCTCTGGGAGGTTACCCTCACTCCCATAGGGTTTGCTTGCCCACTTCCCCCACTACTACTCGGAAACGTAAAATCTACTTCATAAAAATCGAAATGGAGCTCATGTCAATAGATATAAAAGAGGGGCGAAAGATACCAGAGGGACATTCAAACTCATAGATCGAAAACAAACTGAGAACAACATGGCTTAAAAAGAAAAAGACAAACAGAGAAATAATAGTACACAAGACACAACATAGAAAACTAAAGATTAAGCAACACGAACTCCACCATGAACAATTCACCAAAGTTTCTTTCAAATTGGTGTTAGTGTTTTTGAGTAATAGTAAAAAAACTGGAAAATTCCCCTTTTTTAATGAATAAAACCCCATAACTGGGAAATGTACAATCTTAAATTTTTAACTACAGGTTCTTAAGAGCCTGTGTCGCTCACCTTCGTCTATCTGCATATTAAACAAAGGACACACAGTATAGACAAGTATAGAATTCATGACAAAATTATGTTTTGGTGATGGTGATGTGTTTGTAGACCTTACTTTACTGAACATTATTGCTGTTTACAATTATCTCTATCTACAGTGAACTTGGCCCACTAGTTTCAGGAAAATGTTTTGTAAAAATTAAAAATTTACAAACATTTACGAAAAATTGTGAAACAATGACTTTAAAGGGCAATAAGTCCAAAAGGGGTCAATTGACAATTTTGAACATTTCGACTTACTTAAAGAGCTCACTTTGCTGAAAAATTTTGTTGTTTACAGTTTAATCTGTATCTAATATAATATTCAAGATAATCACTAAAAGCTGCAAAATTTCCTTAAATGTACCAATTCAAGGGCAGCAACCAAACAAGGTTTTGTTTGATGCGTCTGAAAATTTCGGGCGGATAGATCTTGACCTGATGAACAATTTTACACCGCACAGATTTTCTGTAAATGCTTTAGTTTCTGAGATATAAGCCAAAAACTGCATTTTACCCTCAAGTTCAATTTATAGCCATGGCGGTCATTTTGCTTGATGACTGGGTCAAATACATTTTTAAAACAAGATACCCTAAGTATGATTTAGGTCACTTTTGGTTTAATTTGGCCCAGTAGTTTTAGGGGAGAAGATTTTTGTAAAGATTAAAAAAATTTACGAAAAAGTATGAAAAATTGACATTAAAGAGCAATAACTCTTTATGGGGTCAATTGAAAATTTTGATCTTTTTGACTTATTTGTAGATCTTACTTCTCTGAACAATTGTGCTGTTTACAGTTACCTCTATCTATTATGATATTCAAGATAATAACCAAAAACTGCAAAATTTCCTTAAAATTACCGATTCAGGGACAGCAACACAACAACGGGTTGCCTGATGAGTCTGAAAATTTACAGGCAGATAGAAACTGACCTGATGAACATGATTATTTTGTCAGATTTGCTCTAAATACTGTAGTTTCAGAGATATAAGCCAAAAAAAAAACGTATTTTACCCCCATGTTCTATTCTTAACCGTGGCGGCCATCTTGGTTTATGACCAGGGTCATAGAATACATTTTTTAAAATAAATACCCTAAGGATAATTCAGGCGAAGCTTGGCTAAATTTGGCCCACTTGTTTTAAAGAAGAAGATTTTTGTACAAGTTAACGGACGACGACGACGACGACGGCGACGGACTCCAAGTGATGAGAAAAGCTCACTTGGCCTTTTTGGGCCTGGCAAGCTAAAATACGAAAGGGAGCTCCCATCAATAGATATAAACATTATAACAAAGTTTCATGAAAATTGGTTAAAGCGTTTTGGGTTAATGTCCAACATACTGACGACGGACGGACGGACAACGGTATACCATAATACGTCCCGTAAACGGGCGTATACAAAGATTGATGAATTTTTTTTTCGATTAATATACAGGTTTGGTGTGACAAAAAAATTAAAGCATCACTTGTGATCGTATGTAAAACGGGATAAAAACTATACTCCCGCCTCCCTGAAAATCAAATGAACTCATTTGGTCTCATTCTGTTATATTGTTTGATTTTAAACACATTTTATTCATTAAGATATAAAAATGATTGAGCAACAGGAACAGCTAAAAAAAGTACTTTTCATACCACATCTACAAAGTTTTAAAATTATATTATACTTATGAATCAATCAATGGGAAAACTGTGAACTAGAGCGAACATCCAACATATCAAATCCAGTGTCAATTCCAAGGATACAATTAACACGCACCCTCAAAATAAGATTTGATTTAGATACTACTAGTTGATAAATAAAGGAATACTGTCCAAGAATCAGGTTAAACAGTCACTGCATGTATCTCAAGCATAGTTGTGCATTAATAGAACTGTGCGGATATTCAGAACAGGAGGCTAGGATTGTATTCGACCAGTTTGATCCGGTATATTACTATTATTTCAAATTTACGAAGGTAAAGTAATAACAACAGAGGCTGCGCATTTTTTCATCCTAAATGCAAATGAATTGCTTTGTTTGATTTTAACTGCTATAATGTTTAAATTTCAAATGTTGACGAAAATAAAGTAATTAGACAGAGGCTGCATATGTATACATCCAAAATGAATAGCACCATGCGATTTAAACTTGTATAATTCTAAAATATTAGTGTTGAAAAAGGTTAAGGAATTACAACAGAGACTGCGTAGTTTTACAACCCAAAAGAATATCACTGTGCGATTAGAATTGCACATTTGTATTGGTCCCATTTGATGCCAACGTTTTTAATTTTTTTATCCAAAATCTTTATCGAGTGAGTAGCTGCTCCCTATACCAAAAGTCAGTCAATTATGGTCTGCCTTAGTTAGCCAAAAATTTAATGAAACATATATAAGCAATGTTTCGGACAATTTCGGAAATAATTTCCGGTCAAATTGTTACATCTAGTTATGCCCCTTGGAAATATAATATCGGGAATTGCATTGCGTCTTCTCTCAAGCCTTCATTTCTTAGATATATTTATAAAATATTTAAAAGAACAAAAAAAGTTCTTTTTTAGTTATTGTCCTTGGACAGATAAAAAATATGAAACGCAGGAGACATTTGAACACTGTTCTTTTATTGTATTGGGTATTTTTGTTATACTTTTTTCCCTTTATATTATATATAGCTTTACACAAAGTGATATAATCTTTTTCAACGGAAAATAACAATATTTTTTTTTTAAATAGAAAATTAATTTTCCTGTTAGGAGATCTTCAATTCTGCTATAAATATTTACCTTTACATGATTTGAATGAGCATTTTTCAGTTTCAAGTGATGAACCACTGCAATATCCGACATCAACAAACGTACAACTGCTACTGCATTGCTGGCAAAAACGATTACGCGATCTCGACCCGTAACCACAGCTCACAGAGCACGGATTCCAAGATTGCCAATCGGACCATTCTAAAATGAAGAAATAAAGGAATACAGATTGAGAATCGAAAACATTTAACCGTCTATTGGGATGTCTTTGGGAGATATTAAAAATAAATGTTCATTTTGCCTAGACATAACATGTCGAACCAGGCTTAATTATCATCAATAGTCAATAATTACAAAAGTATTTCATATGCAAATAGACAACCTAGTTCTGTGTGTAAAGCATATTAAAAAAAGTTAGTGCAAACATCTAAGATATGATTTTTCAAATATTAGCACCAAGGGTATTGGAAATTGTATGCATCTACAAAATTGACGCAACTCCGTTTAAACGCTAAATTATAGAAAGTAGAGGGTCCAATTATTGCTTTAAAGACAACATGAGTTATCTGCCTTTATCCAAAGCTTGTTTTGAAGTAAATGAATGGATTTCGGACAGCTTCAGATTTTTTTCAGTCCTTTTTTACCCTTTATTTTTAAACTAGCTAAAAGTAAATATTATACAATAATAACAAAAAAATACGGAAGCGTAGTAACGTCACATGATTTTTTCGTTTTGTTTAAATAAAGAAGTGCTATTACGCTTCCTTACATCAGTAAACAAGTACTTTAAGCGTGAAAACATGTAGCTTTTCTTTCTGTAAAAAAAAATAAAAAACCAATTAAAAATCAATACAATAGTGAATAGAAAACGGGATTGTGTCAAAGAGAACATGGACGCCACACTAAACTCCGAAATGATATGTCGTATCCAAATTCTGTCATACTGTCGCCTATCACATAAAATTCGACATCTACATTTATCTTTCTACGTTCATGATCGATCCAATAATATATAAAAGATACCATCCATTACTAAGAAGAAACAATTGAATCATCAATTCCCTCCAATCTACAACTTTTCTTGTTTCTTTGGACATTAGCTTTGAATATACTCAGTAAACTCATCAAAGATACCACCACATCCTAATGCAGAATGGAGTCTGCGGGGATGTTGCACCCTTGTATGGAACACCACAGCTGTCTTATGTGGTACTCTAATATTACGTTATGTTGTTTTATTATTACTTGATGATATTTTGTCTTTACATAATATAATTTAAGTCCTGCACTTAAATTAAGTTATCACGGTGCGCTGTAAAATTATGTTGGTTTGGTTATTAGTGAGTTTAAGAAAACTTTAATTTCATTGGTGGTTAGTGAACCATACAATTTGACGTCACGATCCTTTTTTAATTAGGATCCAACAGGAAAGGCTGCATATGTTAAACTTATTGTTATCAGAAGAAATTTTTATTCAAAAAGCCACCCTCCCACCCAGAAATGTCTATGTATTGTAAATACAATGTTTTAGAATATAGTGCGGCGGCTTCGTGAAAATTGTGCAAATCCTGCTACACGCATGAAACTTGACACATAGCTTTCTCTAGTATAACTCTTCTATTTCAGATAGGGAGGCAATCGAAAAAAGTGTACCACTTCCGGTAAAATCCAATATAGCGGACATTATGCTAAAATCAGCCCAATATCGAAACTGGTATGTGAAAAGTATTATAATCATGTTGATATCATTCAATTCGACACAAACCTTTATTCTGTGCTACTTTTGGATACATTATATAGATTATATGTCTTTTAAAACTTTACTCCTGGTCAATTCAATATGGCAGACATTGTGCTAAAATAAGCGAATTTCTAGGGAGAAAATTGCAAAGTATTTTAATGTATTACTAATATCATAATATTGTGCAGGAACCTTTCTTTTGTGCTTCTCATGGATATAATATATAAATGACATATGTCTTTAAAACACCTATTTCCGGTGATATCCAATATGGCAGACATAGAAATATCAATTTTTAATTTTGATATTCAACTTTTTTCAAAATGTAAAAAAACTGTTTTTTGTGCCGGTGTCATATATGGTATTTTGAACCCCATGGTAAATTGACCCGGGGTCAAAATACAGCTATGGTAAATTGAACTCCCCATGGTAAATTGAACCCCCCTGTATGGAGAATTGACCCCTTATGGTAATTGAACCCCCTGTTTTTTTCATTCTAGATGATTATTAGTAATTTATTCATAATTCTTAAGCTTATCATAGATTCAAAATCATTCATACAAGAAGGGGAGGTCAATTTTCCATGATTTGTTAAAAGAAATATCTTTGCTTGGTATAAGTGCTCTCAAGTCATTACCAACAAAATTTCATCCAAAGCACTTATTGAAGCATTATAATTAGACCATAAAATATTCAACATATAAAGCTAGTTTTAATTTTCCATAGTAAAAAAGGGGGAGGGGGTCAAATTACCATGGCTCAGTTAAAATTGAAAGTAAAATTTTCAAAACATCTTTTCCAGCACGTTAAATACATACAAACTACTTATTGGATTATTATTTCTATGTACAGGAGGTAAGAAAGCTAGAATTTTGAAATTGGAGGTGTAAAGGGGAAGAGGTCAGAATACCATGGCTAAATAACATTTTCAAAACATCTTTTCCAGCATGTAAAATACTTACAATCTACTTATTGGAGTATTATTACTATGTTAAGGAGTTAGAATAGCTAGAATGTTTTGAAATTAGAGGTCTATCACAGGGGTTCAATATACCATGGCAAAGGGGGGGGGGGGGGGTCAAAATACCATGGTTAAGTAAAATTTTCAAAACATCTTTTCCAGCATGTTAAATACATACAAACTACTTATTGGAGTATTATTACTATGTAAAGGAGCTAGAATAGCTAGAATTTCTGAAATTAGAGGTCTATAGTAGGGGTTCAATATATCATAACAGAGGGGGTCAAAATACCATGGCTAAGTGAAATTGTCAAAACATCTTTTCCAGCATTTTAAATACATACAAACTACTTTTTGGAGTAGTATGACTATTTAAAGGAGCTAGAATAGCTAGAATTTCTGAAATTAGAGGGCTATAGTAGGGGGTTCAAAGTTCAAGCTATTATAACTCCTGTACATAGTAGTAATACTCCAAAAAGTTGTTTGTATGTTTTTTACATGCTGAAAAATATTAAACTTTTGGCTTTAAATCATCATCAAACCACTAATTCTCTATTATGTTTACAATGTTTAAATACAAAGATAACACTTCCGGTAAAAAAAACAATATGGCATAAATTTCAGAAGAGAGTACTCAATCTGTATCCTCGATGTAGAGTTTTGGATAGATTTATTAAAAAAAAATAAAGTCACTAAAGTACTAAAACATCTTTAAAATTACTAATATATGGCTCCAAATACACGTTTATACACAATAACCACCACAAGCATATTTATAAAGCAGTGCACTGAAGACCCGATTTCTCACATGTAGAACGACCGCGGCATCCTTTCTGACATTCATAATGTACCAGCTCCTGACTAGATGACGAGGCTTCAGAAAGAGCTGTCGAAAAGGGTTCCTATTGATCATCTTTGTCCCTTCGCCATCCATAGGCGCCTGGACTGGATAGCATATGAACCAATTCCAAGCTCGTTCGCCATACACACCCGCCGTTGTATATTGCACATTTTAAATACTGTAAAAGACTTGACCTTGTCTGCGGAATAGCCTCAATCAGTCTTCCCTTTTGCTCAAACAGTTATTTTCTTGCTTCGTTAGCCCCATCTGATGAGTTTGTTCGATCGTACATCAAAACCACGTATCGTTCTATCAATGACATCATTAGATCCATATCTGGTGATGTAGGATGATTAATAATTCTGAATGCTAAAGTCACATCGTCAAATGCCATCCATGTCTCCCACGCAGTCTTTTCTCTTTTTCCAGCAAACGAAGATACCGTAGCTTCACAACCGGTAAAGGCACGGAACAAAGGAAGTGTGTGTGATTGCAACATCAGTATCGACTGTTCGAATCATGACTCGTTTAAGTCCGTTTATCACTGTATCTGACACATGCACCATGATTCTATTGCCAGCCTCTTCATGTGAACATGGTGCTAAACTTGAAACATCATGTTATGGTGGATAACATAGAACATCCTTAGTATTTGTTGCTACAGCAACCTTTTCCTCAAAATGTTGTTAAGAAAACCGCTGTGAAAGAAAACTAAAAAGTTCTTTTTTATTGTTTCATCTCTCAGAAAAATCAGCCAAATTAGAGCAATTTTGTTTTGACCCTGGACTCGTCTGCGTATTTCCTTTCCCCTCTTGCCTCTTGTAGCAGCCTTCAAACTATTGTCTATATTCGCATCCCAGACTTCATCCACTCTTGTTACAGTTTCCAGGTGTTTCCTGATGTAAGGACAGAATACGAAAATCAGCATAATCGTCAAAGGTACGAGATGTCGATGGTTTAAACATATTCACAATTGCTGCTCTGTCAATAACTAAAACATTCACACCAGGAACGTCGCCTGTCGTTGTTGTCAATGGTTCTAAACACTTACTGAGAAGATCCAATTTGGTTCCGAGAAACATGAGTAAAGAAGTCTTCCAAGTCGCCACCTCTCGTCTGACAAGATATTTAGAGCCTTGAAAATAACAAACATCACTTTTCAGTATGCTTATTTTGTTCTTCATTGCCAAACATTCTTCCCATTAGGAGTTCTAAGCAACTTCATTCCATTTTTCTTGATTGGTTCAAAAAAAAAGGAACAGTTCGTTTTATCAGTCTGTTTTCAATGTACTTTTCATACTGTGTATTACCGATCTTCTCTTTTTGCCGGATAGTATCAACGACAGATGTTGGTGCTACATGTTTATCCGTCGTATCAAGGACAAGTAAATCCTGACTATCTTCAATGGACAAATTCCCTAACTCATCCATTACTTCTACCATGAACCAAACATCCTTCAAAAATGACTTTTGAACAATATTTTTATGTTCGTTGTGATGTTCGTCCTCGTCTACCTCAAAATCACTTAAAGTGCTCTCAAACTCTATTGTCAACCTTGCCATATTAGGCCCTGCAATCATCCATCGCCGTAACAGGATATTCAGTTAATCTAACTGCACCACCATCAGACTTTATCATTGCAATGTTCTGCTCATGA